TTTTTAATAATTGACTGTCCAATACAAAAACAGCCCATCTCGGACGATTGGGAAAACAGGTATTCTGAACACTGTCATCTAAACATATAATGTATTAATGACAGATGTACTGCAATACCTATCACATCAATGGCGACTCCGAAGACCCCCTGGACCCCCTGTACAGTGTTGACTGCAAATGTTTCAGCCAGAATTAGACCTCCTGTGACTCTGTGGGTCGTGGAAGAGATTTTGTGCCTTACTGCTTTAATTCCTTGATAACAATCTGACTGCAGATTACAATAAAACATTTGCAGTTGCATGCTAGCAAGTACAGTCCTTCACCTGCTGAAGGCAAGCTAGGTCACCTGGAGCACAATGATCAGAGATTGATTAATAAGCCGATTAGTGATAAGAGTCAGGATTGGAATTTTATACATGCTTACTTGCAACCGGCAGGGATATTAACATGACATATAGAGGACTATAATTTGTACGTATGTACCAAGCAATTATGGACATTATTTTAGAGATTTTGTTCAACATCAAAGTAACATTGTTATTTTGTTATTTATTACATATGCACTAAACAATTATGGATATTTTTCATATAAACTGCTGGATAGAACAAATTATACACTTGAAAACTGAGTTTGACAACAGAAATTCCAATGTTACTGAAATCTAACAAACTAAAGGTTTAAAACACAACTATGACATCCGTATGAAATACATTGAATAACCATTTCTTGTTTTTTCATTTCTATCCACTGTCAGACATGGCTGTATACTTTCTTTTGCCTGGCATGTTATATATATATACATAAATGTTTTTCAAAACATTTCTCTTTTAAACATACTATATTTCATGGTTTTCAAATATTTCTTCCTCGAGTTTCTCTGGGTTGTACTTTGGATGTTAAGGTATGGGTGTAGCACGGGACGTTGCCAGCATCTGTGTTACTGCATGTGAGACTTGGTACAAGGAGATTCATACACCTTGGCCAAGCAAAGCAAGCAAGGGATTTCAGTTTATATTATTTCATCTTCACTGTCAAACCAATGCATTTCAGTGAATGAGTTTCTGTGAAGAGTTGACATTTATTTAATAAAGGTATGAAAACCTACATGGAAAACTGCTTACTAAATTTAAAGAAGTTAACATCCATAAACGTGATACATTCAGCTTAACATATTTAGTACAGACTTCTAAAGCTGGGATAACAATTATAATATCTGAGACCATACACCATTGGCATAGATATGATCAAATGCATTCTTCTTCTTGTAACCCTAAATGCTGAATCTCCACTGAAGTGAGTGAGTGAGTTGGGTTTAACGCCGCTTTTAACATTATTCCAGTTATATCACCGCATGTCAGCTGAATGTGGGAGGAAAGCCCGAAGTGATGCAGGTCTCAGACGTTTACCACTTCAGTGAAACCCACGAGCACGGGTATGGTGCTGATAAACCAAGAAACATAATCGGGGTGAACCGGGATTCAAACCCACATTCATAGGTTTCTGGCGTGGCCAAGGGACGCAATTCGCGGCAAATTTGAGGACTGGGCCACCCGTGCCCCCTCCACTGAAGAACAAGAGAGTTTAGTTATAATGTATACTACTCAAAAGAAGTTAAGGATCACCCGATTCTTTCATAATGGTAAAGTTAATCTGTCATGACATGAGAGATTAACTATAGTGATATGAAAGAATCAGGTGATCCTTAACTTCTTTTGAGTGGTATATATTAACTACATAACTTCATAGGTGATGCCTATTTCTGGTGTCCCCCACCGTGATATTCTAGAATATTTCTAAAAGCAGTGTAAAACCATACTCCCTCCCTTCCGCCCTCCCTCATTCACTCACTCCTAATTACATATGCCTAAACCAAGACAACTATATTACCCTCCATTTCTTTACATATCAAATCTTCATAAAGTCAAAATCAATTTAAACTGAATTATGGCCCTCACGATTTTTAACACATCTTAAATAAAAAAAATACTCCAAAATACAGTAAACTACGGTTATAAGGAACACGCTTATAACGAACTGACGGATATAACGAACTTACTTTTTTGGTCCCGACTATTTGCTGTACGGTTATAACGAACTAAAATTAGTAGTCCCTTTGAGTTTGTTATAACCGTAGTTTACTGTAATCTGAATCTTTGAATCTTTAACCAAAGACGTATTGTATATATATACGTCTTTGCTTTAACCTATATTATCATGTCTTAACTTACATACTCAGAGCAGGAAAGTAGTATTCCATGCACCATCTACCTACAGGAATATTATCTTCACATATAAGGTTCAGTTATTTTGGTCAGGTGTAATTAACACACCTGTCAATAGTGCTCCTGTTAGCACCTGCATACTGATTAGCCCACCAGTGTTTCATCTAGGGCAGATATTGGGATAATGTACTACCTGATCAATACACCACTACACACTACACTGTAGGAGATACTGACTTCTGATAGGGTAAACACAAACCGGCTACAAAAGGGAATGGTTATCATGATAGAGGCTGAACTTTTTAATCTGATTGCGTTTATTGTCCCCAAATAAACATATTTATTTAGACCCTCTTTCATAACTGCTTGTCCATGTCCTTATGAACACACCAATGTGTTTTTCTTGTTGTGAAAATCATACAATTATTGCAATAATTTCACAGTAAATGACTGTTAAGTGTCGTTCTGCCCCCCCCATGTGTAATTCTTTCAAGCACCTGTCCTATGTCATGAGTTGTCTCCCTATTTATTCTCACTAAAACCCTCAATAAATTACCATCATGCAATATTAATCTCATGATACATAAGCTTTTTAAAATTCATCATAAAAAACTGTCATGCTAAATCTCTCTTCGATTGCCCACATGGGTAAAATGTGTGAAGCCTGTTTCTAAAAATGGTATAAAAAACCCACTCACTCACTCACCCAAACACTCATTCACTCACTCACCCACCAAAACACTCACTCACTCACCCACTCACCCACCAAAACACTCACTCACTCACTCACTCACCAAAACACTCACTCACTCACCCACCCAAACACTCACTCACCCACCTCAACACTCACTCACTCACTCACCAAAACACTCACTCACTCACTCACCCACCCACCCAAACACTCACCCACCTAAACACTCACTCACCCACCTCAACACTCATTCACTCACTCACTCACCCAAACACTCACTCACTCCCTCACCCACCCAAACACTCACTCACTCACTCACAAACACCTGCCTACCCACTAATGCACACACTCACTTACTAACTGACCCAACCAATTTGAAAAGGTTCCTTTTTTCCACAAAGACATAAATTCATAAATAAATACTCTTCAACTTGTCACTTCAGTTCAAGTGACAGTTTGGGCTGACATGGAAACTTCCACATGAATCGCTTGCTTGTAGGCACCAATAGCAACCCGATAGAGCAACAAGTATTGTTTATGACCGACAATATATCCATACTCTCCCTCGCATGTGTAGGGACATGGCAAATATCATGGAAACATTCTCCAGCGCCATAAATTTCTTTCTTGTTATGCGTATCAGGTACGCCATGTTTGCATCCGGACTTGCTGATCCAGACAAAGGCGTTAATACCAGGTTGATGATTTACATGACAAATAATCTATGTTGTAATAAATGTTTGATGCAGGGTGGATCAAGGGCTGTTTGCTTGGATAGGAATCAGTTTGAAGTAGAGGAGATATTCCTGTATAGTCATAGTCATAGATCACAGCTGACTTGATCATGTCAAATATCCTATCAATGCCACTGTAGGGCTTGTGGAAAATATGCGAAAGCGATGTCCAAATATTTACCCTCATCTATACCAAGTTTCGTTTATTCATATCTTTTAGTGGTCAAATCATTCACTTGTTGTGCCGAAGATTCGATTTGCCACATGGGTACAAAGTGTGAAGCCTATTTCTGGTGTGCCCTGTAGTATAGTGTTGAAATATCAGTAAAATCAGTGCACAACCATACTCATTCACACATCGTAACATTCGAAATAAACTGTTTCAGAGTTTATATTGGACCCATATATTTGGAGGTTCTGTAATAGGATCTGGACATGGACTCTTTGATCAGCAGATTGACACCTTGTCTGTCTGGAGGACCAAGATGTCATCTGTTGGATGATTCCTAGACTGTATGTATCTTCAGGGCACATTCAAAAATCAAACATCAAACAGTAACTATTGTGTGTGTTATGATAATACATAAATTACCAGTGATTCCATGGTATTTAGTTTGCTAACCAATTGCATACATGTTTCTGACCTGTGAAGATCCAGGGTAGCATACCGTGAGTCGCCTCTTATGACAAACATAGTCGCCTGTTACGGCATGCATGGGTTGCTGAAGACCTATTCTACCCCGGATCTTCAGTATTTTGCAATGCATAAATGCTACAATGTTCTGTATTATTACAAAATGACGTCAAGTGTAATAGCATGATTATGTCATGACATCATATTTGAACCTGCCAAACCCGATACGTTGTGGCATCTTCATGTATCAAATATGTAAATTCATGAATAATCTCTACACCTCTGCAACAAGAGACAACTAAATGTGATTGAGTCTTTGAAAGGCATTTAGAAGTGATACACGTTTACAAGGAAAATAATTTATGGATGTCAACTTCTTTATTATAAGGAACACAACCTTTCGGAGTATATGCTTACTCCTACAGATGAATGGATGAAGGAATAGCAAGATACACTGAAATATTGTGTTCCTCATCATAAAGAAGCTGACATCCATAAATTCTCTTCCTTAAATGTGATTGGGTAGTCAGGTTCCGTGACTTGGATGATTGTCTGTAATCGTACCCCAACCGCGTGTGAGGTTCCTCATAATATTAATCACTGGTTTGTGCGGACACTAAATTATTCACAGGACACAGTGATGTAGCAGGATTATTGAGTGTGACACAAAACAAACAAACAAACAAACACTCCCTTGACACAAAGAAGTTAACATACCACTTTCTCGCCTCCTCCTGGTGAATGCTTGACATTCTTCAGCGACCCCACCTTCGACTCGGCCTTGAATTCTACTTTCTCGTTAACAATCTATGAAACAAATGAAAAGGATATTACACAAGGCCAATTGAGGTGGTGGAGCAAGTTGCCTAGCGACGGGCGTGGTCCACACAGACATGCATGTCAAGACAGTGTCTGAGGATACACTCCTTCCTGTCTTTCTTCACCACGTCCATGAGCTGCACTTCATCTACGGTGACTGAGGATGTTATTTGTTTGTAATTCACCAATTTCAAATTTCATGGAGGCAGCAAATGTTTTGAAGCAAATAAAATCAGTCCACTTACCATTTTAACAGGTTAGAAATAGTGCCAAAATGAGCAAAGACAACAGAAAAGCAGAATATACCAAAAGACTCGAAGCAAATCTCAGAATAATTTGTTTTTAATAATGTTGTCATGTCATCAAATTCTTCATTAATTTTCTGTATGATGATGGATTAGGATTAAGGATGCTCCTCAATATTTTTTTCTAAATTATTTTTGGTCAAATACCATTATTTATATTTTTGCAAGCACATAACTCAGTGTTAGTTTGAAATATATACTTTGTCTCCTGACCAATCACTTTTTAGTGGCCAAAACATCGGAGATACTTGCAGCACTTTAAATGTTTTCACATAATCCTTGGGAGGAGTTACAAACATCAGGTTTTTCATTCCTCATCATCAGTTTCTACTAGCATCACTACGGGACACAAACCCGTGCACTTACACCCACACTCATGTACTCTAACCTTACCTTGTTAATCCATATACCTCTCTATACAGTGCAGGGATTAAATAGATGTCTTGTCACCTCAGTCATGGAACCTATTCTCTATACTACAATATGATTTATTCATTATTTCTAAAAGGAAAGATAATTTTTATAGAAATACAAATTAAAAAAAAGGCTTAAAAAAATCATTAATGTTTTCAACTTTTTTTGTAAAATGTTTGATGAAAATATTAAAAAAACAGTCTTTTCAAAATAATTTAATTTTAAAAATTACGAGTAAGACAACTTGCAACAGCTATTTAATGTGCACATGACGAGGCAAAAAGCAGTGAATACATACAACATGGCTGATGCAACATTACTTTGACTTTATGACCTCCGGGCGAATGCTTTGCATTTTCCAGGTAACCAAGTCCTGAATTGACTTTCCAATCCAGTTTCTCAGAAACTATCTAGCATTGGAACAAAGGGAGATAAATACTGTAAGAAAATTGGAAGAAATATCAATCTGTCTCGGTGTTATCCTACTCACAAGAAAAAGGAACATGTTGCAGAAAACATATTCGACTTAAGATTTGTTTGTGATTTTGGCAAAAACCAAAAGAAAAAGCATTATTGTTAGCATTACACATTTCAACTTAATACAAAAAAAGTGAGCCAGAATTTATTTGCAATAATTTAAATATTTTTGAATTAATATAAATAATTACAAATCTGACAATGTCAGTTGTAGCTTGGCATTGTTATCTAAGGGAATTCTATTTTTATTATAGGACCATAGACGTATTTGAATTTTATTAGATATTCACACAAAGTTAGTAACCACACAGACTATATTAGATGCTGAGCAAGCACTTTACATGCAGTCACACAATAAACGAGAACCATACATACAAAATATCTATACACGTTCAAGAAATAACAGCAATTACTCATAAAAAAAAGTTTGTATAAACATAAATACTACCTAATAATAATAAACTTTGATAATCAGAATTGCGTAATTGTTATAATTGAAATAGTTGAAGGTATATATCAGCATCATAAAAACTGGGAAAAAAAGACACATCACGTTAATTCTACATAAAAATTACCATATCTACTAACGTTTTTGTATTACCATATTCAATATCACCACTAAACAGTAAAAATATAAATAGTATAAAATTTGAGAAATTAGAAAATGACCTGCATCGCTATCCATCTCTATATGTACAGGCATATATGCAAGCTGTGGTAGGTGGCTTACATCCATTAGTAATGACAAGAGTCGTGACATTTTGAAAGGGAAATGTAATGTTTTCATGAAACAAACCAATGCATGCTGGAAACTAATAACAGGTTGTATATTTCACTTACAGTTCATAAAGAAGCAAAAAACAACATAATTAAGGTTCCCCTTAAGGCATATCTCATAATGCTTGGTACATTTGCTGCAGATAATTTATGCTTACTAACTTCCATTTAGTTTGAAATTCGTCAAATCTCGACAAAAATCTACGTCTTTGCATCCAGATTCTTCAATGATTTTCCTAAAGAGTAAAACTTCTAATGAAATATATCGTGTTCACAAGGTGAATGAATTCTATATACCTCTGGTTAGTTTTATGAATTATTGCACACAGTTGATTCCATCCCTCACATTGAAGGCAGGTGGCCGTATGCCTGGCTACTAGGCCAAGCAACGTGTCAACACACTGCTTCCAGGATGCCTAACTTGACTACATAAAACCTCAGGGAGTTACCTCCCTTAGGCATTTATGGAAGCATTAACCACTCCATGCCAAATAGAACTAAGTTTCATTTTTATCCCTTTTTCATTTGCCTAACTTTTTTTAAACATAACAGCTAATATTTTATTGTTAATGAATATGTTGCAACGATCATAATTTGAATGATTTAAAAAATAATAAAAGAATAAAAGAATATCTAATGTGACTTAGCAAAATGCAAAATGATGTGTTTAGAGTTTAAGTAAGGGTGAGATACAGAGACTGACTGGGTCTATCACATGACAACTGAGGTAAGAATAGACATAAACTCTCCTCTAGCACATGGATCATAAGTAAAAACATAACAGTGTTACAAACATGTAGAACAAAGTGTTGACATAATCATGATGATGTGTTGGTTACCATGGTGACAAAACTGTTACCTTCTTTTCTCCCCCTCTTGGAGTGTGGTAAGCATTGTCAAATGACCTGACTTTTGATTCAGAACTCCACTCTTATTTGTGGCTTTCAATCTTAACATGGGAAAAATAAACGCAAAAAGCTCATTTTCAATTATTCTGAAAGAAAGAAAATGATGAATTTTTGTGCTGTGTGATCTAATAAAATAGATCCAGTTTCGAAGACTAATACCTGATACCTTTTTCGAAAAGAGCATATCGAGTATCTAAACACTCATGGTACTTACACTCCGCTGAAACAACAGAAGACAACTTAGAGGCATTCTGACAAATCATGCCTGTCACAACATGGATGCCGCCTCAAGCTACACCAGCACTGCCCATAAAGTACACCATCTTCATCTCATTTCATCTCATTTCACTCATGTACTGCCATCAAAGACTCAGTATGCTTTGGGCACTCTCTGTTCAATTTTTAATGAATTCGGGCATTCAACACTGAGTTCATTGGAAGGGAAATACCTCAAATCAGAGATCATTGGATGGGAGATAACTCAAACCAGAGATCAATGGAAGGGAGATAACTCAAATCAGAGTTCATTGGAAGGGAGATAACTCAATTCAGAGATCATTGGAAGGGAGATAACTCAAAACAGAGATCATTGGAAGGGAGATAACTCAAATCAGAGTTCATTGGAAGGGAGATAACTCTATTGTTATTGCGGAATACTGGTGTATGTTCCATGGGCTGTGTGTGTAGGGAGGCACACATGTACACAAGACCACAACCTCCCACCTTTATATCACCACCGCCTGCAACATGTTTGGCATTATCCATGGAGCCAACTCGAGACTCCACTTTCCAATCGAGTTTCTTAGTCTCAATCTGGCAAAGCAAAGCACCACCATGCAAGCATGACAACAAGCTGGAATGTTTGATGATTTGTGATGGAGACAACATTCTGTCTTTTTATGTTAGTATGAACATCTACAGCACATGAGAGTTGATGGTTAATGATATCATTGAAAGTAAGTGGTTATGGAATGTAGGTTATCAGTCAACTGTTTCAATGAGTTTGGAAATGGAAGATGATAAACAACATGATTCCTGGCCATGTCTACCAAGTGATGTAAGTGCTAATGCTGCTGATACTTGGACATTATCAAGAAACTGTTCTAAAGTTTGAACACAGATAAAAATCTGAATTTCTGAATCTTTTCAAGGTTCTTACAGTTCAAGTAAAACATTGTCTTTACCTGAAAACAAATAGCATCACTGTCGAAGATAAAATGAGTTAAAAGACAAGAAATACCAGGCTAGTTCTTCCTCAGGGTGATGATGTTGCTCCAAATGTTCTGTTGTGATGTAATTGATGCAATGATTCTATAATTTCTGTTTTTTCTTCTGTAAATCTCTTTGAGTATGTCAACATTTTCACAATTACGTTTAGGGGGCGTGTGGGTAATGTCTCAAAACTAAAAGAATCAAACATCTTATCTGATTAAAACTTTTGAAATGCTCACTAATTTGGGATCAAAAAATGGACCATCATTCCTCTGTGGTCAAAAGTTTCCTATCTCACCTTGATAAATACCTGGACACATGACATGAGATAATCAAGGATGAATATCATAACATGAGTATTTTTCTGTAAGGTTTTACATGTTCTATTGTTTTTCAGGAATTTTCTTCCTTACGTTTATATTTGTCACAATGAGGAAAGGAAATATACATTGATGATACAGGTACTTATTCTCTTTGTTTGCTTATTTGTTGTTTAACGCCACATTTAGCATAGCAATATCCCAGCTATATGACAATAGCTTGATGGGTTTCACCAAAGTTGAAAACATCAAAAATCTGCATCGCTTTGGGCTTTCCTCCAACGTGAAGCTGACATGCCATGATATACCAGATATACATGCCATGATATACCAGATATACATTGCTTTGTTAAACCAAACTCTCTCATTCCTAAAGTAATGTTGTTATACTCATCTATTATAACTTGACCTGACTTACACTCGTCATAAGGGGGCACGGGTAGACCAGTCGTCTAGGGCGCAGCGTTTCGCTGTGCAGAGTTGCGTCCCTTGGGCACGCCAGAAACCTATGATTGTTGGTCGAATCCCGGTTCAACCCAATATGTTTCTAGGTTTGTTAACACCATACCCGTGCTCTTTGGTTTCACCAAAGTGGTAAACATCTCAGACCTGCGTCACTTCGGGCTTTCCTCCCACACTGAAGCTGACACACCGTGATATAACTGGAATACTGTTAAAGTGGCGTTAAACCCAACTCACTCACTCACTCATAACACTCATTATTATTTCCTACCTAGTTCTCAAAACAAGCATAGCACTTACATCTCCTTATCAAGTGGCCTTTGGAAAGAGTATATGATCATCATGCTGTTAATAAGATTATATTCGGTTCTGATGACTACGTCACTAAGTTAGAGGTGCACTACATGACATTCCCACCTTTTTATCACCACCGCCTGCCACGTGCTTCGTATTATCCAAGGAGCCAACTCGGGATTCCGTTTTCCATTCAAGTTTCTTACTCTCAATCTGGCAAAGCAAAGCAACAACATGCAGGCAAGGCAACAAGCTGTGAGAGGGGGTTCCCATGATTAGGTGTGGGAGACCGTGTCACTAGCACCAAACTCAGGGATGCAGTAGAGTTCACCAGGGAAGTACATCAGGATTTGGTTTCAGTAGAAAACTGGCTGAAGTCTACCAAACTCCATCATTCATTCAACTTTTAGACTGAGATCTAAAATATCAGGCAATACAGAAATTAATGTAAAATTTTGTCTGGAATCATTAACATTTAACATGACAGAGCTCAAAATGATCCAATTATTTAACTTCATTGAAAACTGAATCTTCTAAACTGTCTCAAAATGACATCTTACAGAAATTAATCACCTCTGACTCATCTCAGAGAATAACATGAAAACAACACTATTACAATAGAGACAACTGGATATATATAGATATATATATACTGTAAACAGCTTAATTTCTGTGCCGTTAAAATATTGCGAATACCACACCAAAGACAATACTGCGACGAGATATTTTTGCGAGTTGCCGTGTTGAGATTATCAAATACGATAATTGACTCAACTCAGTGTCATGACTGAGTTGGTCTGTTTACACTGTCATTTGTGATGTTTTGTGTGACCATTCTGCATTCATTTGTGTTTTTAACTTATTGAGTAACTTGTGGTTCTGGTTGATGATTTCAACATTTGATGACGTGTTGCAATGAATAAAGTATGTATGTATTATTTATACTTATTTTTGCGTTTTTAATTTTTGCGATTGAGTCTCGTTCGCAAAACTCGCAATAATAAAATGGTCGCAAAAAAATCCCTGTTTACAGTATATATAAATATAGAGAGATACATATACACCACCCAATACTAAAGTGTCCTGTTTGATGGCATTCCTGACATTGAATATCATTCTGTGACCTATCCATGTACAGTTTTAGCCGCTTGTCATTATCGAAACATTAAGTTGACTGCCATCATTATTCCCTAGACTTGATAGTTAGTGGTAACCTGATCAATTCATAGAAGTAGGAACTCTCTGACAAAAAGGCCCCCAAAAGAAAATCCAAAAGATGTCTGGGATTTTTTTTTAAGGGACCTGATGACTTATGAAAACAATTAAGATATGTTTATGTTTTACAACAGAAAACAGATTTGATGTCTCGTCCTGAAACGCCTCACATGATCCTTCAGTCTGCAAGAATTACACGGAATTCCACGATTCTGCATCAGATGCTCATGCTTGGCAGGTTATTATTCAGTTCTGACAACTACGTCACTAAGTTAGAGGTGCACTACATGACATTCCCACCTTTTTATCACCACCGCCTGCCACGTGCTTCGTATTATCCAAGGAGCCAACTCGGGATTCCGTTTTCCATTCAAGTTTCTTACTCTCAATCTGGCAAAGCAAAGCAACAACATGCAGGCAAGGCAACAAGCTGTGAGAGGGGGTTCCCATGATTAGGTGTGGGAGACCGTGTCACTAGCACCAAACTCAGGGATGCAGTAGAGTTCACCAGGGAAGTACATCAGGATTTGGTTTCAGTAGAAAACTGGCTGAAGTCTACCAAACTCCATCATTCATTCAACTTTTAGACTGAGATCTAAAATATCAGGCAATACAGAAATTAATGTAACATTTTGTATGGAATCATTAAAAATGAACATGACAGAGCTCAAAATGATCCTATTATTTAACTTCAATGAAAATTGAATCTTCTAAACTGTCTAAAATGACATCTTAATACTGAAACATATCTCATCTGACTATGCTCAGAGAAAAACAAGAAAACATCATTATTACAACAGACACAACAAGAGAGGTTCATACACAATTAAACACTAAAAAAGTCTGGTATTAGAGCATTTCTGATATCTTTCAGGGATCTATCCATGTAGAATTTTAGCCTGTTTGGCATTATCGAAACATTAAGTTGACTGCCATCATTATTCCCCAGTTATTGGAAACCTGTTCAATTCATAGAAGTAGGACCTCTCTGACAAAATTTAAGGCCCCCAAAAGAAAATCCAAAAGATGTCTGGGAAAGGGACCTGATGACTTATGAAAACAATTAAGATATGTTTATGTTTTACAACAGAAAACAGATTTGATGTCTCGCCCTGAAGCTTCTCACATGATCCTTCAGTCTGCAAGAATTCCACGGAATTCCACGATTCTGCATGAAATGCTCATGCTTGGCAGGTTATTATTCAGTTCTGACAACTACGTCACTAAGTTAGAGGTGCACTAAATGACATTCCCACCTTTTTATCACCACCGCCTGCCACGTGCTTCGCATTATCCAAGGAGCCAACTCGGGATTCCTTTTTCCATTCAAGTTTCTTACTCTCAATCTGGCAAAGCAAAGCAACAACATGCAGGCATATGACATGCAAAGAAGCTGCATTGGGAGTTAGTTGACAAAACGGATGAAAATAATGTCAATTTGGATTTTTATTATGTTAACAAAATGTAAATGAAATTGATGTTTTGAAGATCTGTCTGTGTGATCTTCTGATGCTGTTCATGATGCACATGCAAAGCTAGAACGGCTGATATCTAAAGCTTCATCAAATCAAATAAACAATATCAACTGTAGGGCATTGGCAGAGTATTCAATACATGGTAGTCAGAGCATGCAGCAAGCCTGAATCAAGAAAATCAAGCAAATACAGAAAAGTTAATGGTTAAACATGGTCATGGTAAAGACACAGTTATCCCCCTTACCTTCTTTTCACCACCGCCAGCAACATGTTTTGCATTGTCCATTGAACCGACTTTCGATTTAGCATCCCAATTAAGTGTTTTACTTTCAATCTGCAATAACACATTCCTCTTGTTCAATAGTTGTGAAAAGTTTCTGGAAATTGTACGTTTCACTACTATACAACAAAGTCCTACACACAGGGTCTCCTGCAGACCGGCAGCATGCAGTATAAAACAGCTGTACAAACAACAGATACAATAACTCAATATTTATACAACGTCTGTAACATGTGTACTACTGTTATAGCATGGCATGAAACTGACCAAAGTATGCTCAAAGAAAAAAGTAACTCTGACCATGTTCTTTTTCATTATACATGTATTGTGATATGCTTACTCTTGTCAGAAACACCTGGTGTCATCATTGAGTTTCGGTGATCCATTCATACAATTTTCACGGCTATTTGGCCTTTTATGCCCAATGGAATCTATTTCTGTGGATAATCGAAACTGGTTACTCTCGTTGGCCTTGCATACTGGTAACTCATAAGTCCTTTCTTTCACTTTGAAGACTTAAAGAGTACTGTCGTGTAATTTGGGTAAAAATGGCCTTAAATGCTTTTCAACAACAAAAATTAAGTTCTAAATTTCAAATTCTGTCGATCAATTTTGTGATCTTTACACAAGTTATGATGATATGTCTAACTGTTTCCATTTATCATTCTACCATGACATTGATGAATGCTTGATTCTGATTGGTTAAAAAGAGGTTCCTTTTTGCTACGGAAACCCATTTCAATTATATATAGCCTTTTTAAAAGAAACGTGGGTATGAATACATGGACAGCCTACATATCGATTCATAGAAAATGGCTACTGATCGATCACCCCCATATGAACTGTAAAATGTATCTCTATTTCCTTTAATGCACGCTGGGTCTCTGGGTCGATTTATTCCTGACCCTATAAAAATGGACACCTGTCACCTTGGTCTATCTTGGCAAGCAGTTTGTCGAGTACATTTCATTCATCAATCTACAGATTTCATTTCATTTTAATTCTTATTGATTTTCCATTATCAAAGCATAGATCAGAGTTACATTTCCCTTTGATAATAATACTCTTTTCTGGAGAAACATGACAGGTACATAGAGTTTATACAATGGTCACATTTTGATATTGTACAAACAAAGAACACTCGATTCTTTCATATTACTATACTATATTACTATGCCAAGGCAGATTAACTATAGTAACATGAAAGAATCGGGTGTTCTTTAACTTCTTTTGAGCAGTATACATCAACTTAAGACTGACTTAGGCTAAAAAATAGAAGTCTTTGATTCTCAGGCAATGGAAAATTGGGATACGAGTCTCTGTCCCTCTCCCGAATTTCTTTTATATTTGTAACATTTTTGATCAAATCATATGCAGTTCCTCTCAAATATCATACTAGAGTTCAAGAAGTATGAAAGAGCACCGTAATCTAGCTCATACACAACAAACATCATATCTGTATGTTAAATTACACAGTATTTAACATGATTTACTGAGTACTGGAACAAAACCAGTTTTCAACATGGTTCTTCAGACAGACATGGAGGAAATGGAGGTCAAAGGTTACAATATCCAAAATCAATGTCATACATTATTATGATTACCAAAAAAACACCACTTTTCAATATGGCTGTCATGGTGGTCATGTTTACTTTTGGATCATAATTCTGTGACCATTTATTTATTTTCACATTTTTTAAGATTATCAATGTTAAGTTCCAGTACCACATACCTTGGGTGTTTCTGGATGTTGGAACTCTGACGGTGCAATATGACACATGCACCTTTGTTTAGGTGAGCTAAAAATCATTGAAGGTAAATCCCTCTTATTTATAAAGTTTTAGGTTGAAAAGTTTTTATTCATCAAATCATAAAATTGTCTATGTCTCATATATATGTATAAGATGAAATGCATTCTTTAATAGATTTTTTTTTGACGTTCCCTACCATGCCTGAGAACCAGGAGTATCATTTTTTAGCCTCATTTCATCTTTAATACCTACATGCCCTTAAAGAGATATCACATAGAGGATTTACTTTCATGACAGGAGTGGTGTTACTCATTAGATATATATTATTTGTATCACATATCATATCCCATAGTATCATAAAACACACGTCATGATAACAAGATATTGTATCCGAAATCTCAGTACATTATCTTCCATCATAGTAATCTTAAAAGGGAAAAATCTTACATCAGATAATATCATACAAAGATTGCAATATTATGAAAAATGCAAATAAAAGTAAGCAGAATGCAAATAGCTTGATTACTTGGCCACACATCTAAGACAGGCACAGTTGGATGGGAGATTCCATACCTTCTTGTCCCCGCCTCCAGCTTGATGTCTGGCGTTGTCTAGGGACCCGATTCGAGGTGTCACATTGTCCAAGGTCAGTTTCTTGTTCTCTATCTTCACATTTCCCCCTCCTGAAGAGGAACCACATTGTATGCTACTGAGAAGCAACTCCTTGCAAAACCCGAAAAATAATATTAACTTCACCGCCAACCAGCCAAAGGAATGTCTCTTTCAAAAAGGTTTACAAGCAGTAGCTAAGGGTTACCTTTAGGCCATTATAAATTGATCACTTGATTTCATCTCTGCCTGCCTTACTACCAAAGACCCCACCTCACATCAAATTGCTACCCTTATTTATCTATTAACTTTACCCTATATATCTACAGATGCAGTGTACAGTTTGTCATAAAAGAAATGAAAAAGATTAAGTTATTCCTGTCTTCCATTTTAATAAATGATATGCAAATCTAATAATCAGTTTAGTGTGGCCTCGTAGCACTTGTAGTCTTATGATAGACCTATGACCCCTGACTGTCCTGTCTACAGGATATCTGTGACCTATGACTGTTCCGTGTAAGGAGGTTCTGCCCACCAGGTTTGTGCTGGAGCTTGTCCTTGGAGCCGACTCTGCTGGACACAGTTGTGTAGTCTGTTTTCTTTGTGACAATTCTAACCTGGAACAGTTCACATGTTTGACCTTTAGAATACAAGAACGGTTCACACAAGTGACCCTTATTCACGACAAGAACAGTTCACATAAGTGACCTTATTCACAACAAGAACAGTTCACATGAGAGACCTTATTCACAACAAGAACAGTTCACATGAGTGACCTTATTCACAACAAGAACAGTTCACATGAGTGACCTTATTCACAACAAGAACAGTTCACATGAGTGACCTTATTCACAACAAGAATGGTTCACATGACTGCTCCGTGAGAACTCATGAACATACCTACAGAAAAGAGTTTGTCATTTCAGGTAACATACCATTCCAATATATATACATGTAGTGTGAGGTACAGGTGTCACTAGCAGGGTGTACAAGAACGAAAGTTGAGGTGTGAACACCAACAGTCAGCAGGTAAAATCCTGTCTATCACACTAACGACAAAAGTAACAAATTTTCACAATTTCAGATACTTATAACTTCTGTGAAATAAGTTTGGGTGACAACATCAGATCTGCCTTACAACTACCATGGTAACAGGGTCAATTATGACGTGAGAAGCAGACGACATGATATGGAACACTATGACATCATGATATCCATACAGACAGCGATTGACCAATCAGAAAGCTGGATTCAATTCTGACTTCACAGCCCACATACCATTGTACAAAATACTGCAATGATCCAAAACTTGGTGAATCGTTGTCATCCTGTAAAGTAACAAAAGTTACGTTCACACATCCTTACATTTCCTCCTCCAGGGGTGTGTTTGGCTTTATCCATGGAGCCTATCTTTGATCGAACCCCTGACAAATTGGGGGAAGGTGACTTGACCGGGGTTGTCCGGGGGGTGCCAGGCTTTGGGGAGGCACGGGATGCTGGCGAGGCCCGAGCATCAATTCTAGGCTCTGCCCTGTACTCCTTCTTCTCACTGAAGATCTGGATATCTCCACCACCAGGACGGTAGTCGGGCCGCTTCGAGTCAATGCCATACTTCTTCCTCTCTACGCTCTGAAACATGAAGGTGAAGGTCAGGTGAAGGTCAAAAACTCAAGCTGCTATTGTAGATTTATACAGAAAATAATTTAGCTAATTCTGACATATTACAGCATGTGATGAGAAACTGAGCATCGCAAGTTGATCCAGTGATGGGAATCAAACCTTGGTCTTTGGGATGACAAGATACCACACTCACCACTGTGCTACCCTTCACTCTATAGGCACCCTGGGGGGAATCGGGTACATCCCCAGCAATGTCAGGGCCCTGTTCCACAAAGTGATCATAACACTAAGGTGATCGTAAGTCCCATACTTTAACATAGATTTACGACTGTCGTTGTGCTATGATCGTTTTGTTGAATGGCGTCCAGTTGGTGATTGTGCTTATCATACCTTGGGGGATGTTGCCCATAATATCAATAATTTGTCTGGGCCAGAATACAGTAAACTACGGTTATAAGGGACTACTAATTTTAGTTCGTTATAACCCTAGTTCGTTATAGGCATATATACAGCATAACTACAGCAAATAGTCTGGACCAAAAAGGTAAGTTTGTTATATCCGTAAGTTTGTTATAAGCATGTCTTTTATAATCGTAGTTTACTGTATTTACAGACCAATATATGTAGAAGAGTGCTGAGTGTGGCTTTAAACAGCGACAACAGAACAAAACATAAGACTGAACTGAGTGACTTGTGGAGTGATCAAGTCATCAGTGTCAGAGAATGTGTTATGCACCTGCCAAGAATCGACACTGAACTCTTGTATTGACTTGACAAATGTAGACAACTGTCGACCACAGTAAGCAAATGTCTCAAAACATTGAGTAATCCGATCAGTGCAAAGATCTCCACATGTTCATTATCCTCAGGTAAACAACCACACTGGGCTGAGCATACCGGTGAGTTGACATTCATTAACAGGTTCTTACTCCTCACACTCAACTCATCACCTTAGACCTGAGGTAAATGTCAGCCATGCAGGGTACATCCCACAAGTGGTGGCAGTTATCTCAAACATCTCATCTTTGCTCTCTGAATCTCATCAGGATCCAGGCGGGGTCGGGTAGCCTAGTGGTTAAAGCATTCGCTCGTCACGCCGAAGACCCGGGTTCGATTCCCAACATGGGTACAATGTGTGAAGCCCATTTCTAGTGTCCACCGCCGTGATATTGCTGGAATATTGCTAAAAGTGGCGTAAAACCATACTCACTCACTCACTCATCAGGATCCATTGGTATTCGATTCAAACCCAAGATGAGTTTAGATGATGAATCTTGGCCAGGCAGCACTATACCTGTTCATGGTGGTTTCTACACCGAAACGTCGCACTAATTGTAATAAAGAAGTTGTTCATCCATAGAACTTGTCTTTCTTCGATACATGTGTGGCAACATTTCAAGTGATGTCAGAACTCACTCACTCACTCACTCTGCATCATGTGACAGGATGAGGTAGTCCAGTTGTTAAAGTGCTTATCTGTCATACTTAACCTTGGTTTAATTCTCCCCACAACCCCCCATATAACACAATACTGAAATTATCCAATGCTGGATGTAATGAAATTAGTACCAATCTCTGAGCATAAAATTAATAATTTATGTAACTGATCATGAAAAATTCACTTACAAAAACAGATTTCTAAGGTTTCTTGGCCTAAGAGGTGGGACACATTTATTTTGAGGGAGTTTTCATGTGTCATACTCAGAGGGGAAACTACCATTGTAACAGAAAAGCAATATTGCTTACACCTTAAAAAAAACTTATTTTTTACCACCTAAAAAAAGCACAATTTTTTTTAAATAAGTAATTTAGCTCATCTATGCAGTAAATTATTAATTCAAACTCTACACGATTGAACATTATATTTATTGTCTGAATTATTTTCATTATAATGATAGGTTGGCACGCAAAAAAATATGAAAAAATACATAACCATCACATACTACAAATGAACATGTAAATACACATAAAAGTAATCTTATCGATTCGTTTGAATGTTCAAATTTCCTTTGACATCACAGATGTTTCTTGAATAAAAATCAGATGTGTTGGTGAAGCATATATGTATATTACTTATATGAAAATATAATGAATAAATTACCAATATTTGTTACAAACAAAATCTAACATAAACGGTAAAAAAAATGCAGGAAAGAGCGTTTAAGAGCATCTAATTTTTACAAATTTCCAGTGGGGAAGTGGGGGAACACAAACACTACTGCGGAGCTTGGGCGTGCTTACACTTAAAATTAGCCTAGTTGCGGCCATGATACAACATAAGTAGAGGGCCATTTCCACATGTTTATCCATTGTCCTAGACTTCAAGGCAGCAGATTTGTCAAACAGATTTGTTATCATGAAAAGCACATAAACCATTTTAATATTAAACAACAAAAACTGGGCCTCATTCCACAAAGCGATTTTGCTCCCATGCTTGAAAATAGACGCTAAGATGATCGTAACTCACATACTTCAACATTGAATTACGATAGTTGAAGCCCTAAGATGATCGATCATACCTCCCATACTTCAACATAGACTTGCTACACCGTAGTATAAAGATGATCAAAACTCCCTTATTACAACCTTAACTGACAACAGTCATAGCACTAAGATGATCGTAACTCCCACACTGCAACATCTAGGCACGAAGTGCACTTTGTGGAGATTGTACCCAGCTGAAATTTCACCACCAAATTGACTATTTCGTTTGGCTACTAAACTCAACTGTTTCCAGAATTATTTGCATTCACAATGCATTTCATTAATGTCATAAAATTCACCACCATCCAACACCAACCAACCACCACCCCTCACTTTCCATAAAGCTGTATCCATGCTTGAGGGATCAGGTGTTCAAGATGAGTAGGGGCGGTCGGGTAGCCTAGTGGTTAAAGCGTTCACTCGTCACGCCGAAGACCCGGGTTCGATTCCCGACATGGGTACAATGTGTGAAGCCCATTTCTGGTGTCCCCCACCGTGATATTGCTGGAATATTGCTAAAAGCGGCGTAAAACCATACTCAGTCAGTCAGTCAAGATGAGTAACAGAGCTGTGTGAGAGTGACAACATGGCTGACAATACTGGGGACAGATTGTCCCTGATGTCCCCGTTTTCATCAGTCTCAGGTGTCGAATTTCAAGAACTGACTGTCTCACACTACCAGGATTAGTTTGCTGCGTCAGGAAGTGGCCCTGCTGTTACAACAATCATGACACATTGTAGTGTGATGTAATCTGGGCCCTGTTCCTCAAAGCCATCTTAGCACTACGATGATCGTAAGTATAGGACTAAAGTATGGGACTTATGATCACCTTAGTGCTAAGATCGCTTTGAGGAACGGGGCCCTGGATAACACCATCATGGCCAAACTAGATGGCTACTTATACTCAATGTATCGACACCCTGGCCTGATGACATCTCAGTGAAGGAACATGGATACTGCAGTCGTTGTAACCCTTTCATTCATTGTACATTGCATAGAATGTCATCAAGTTTGTAATTTATTTTGTTGTAAAATCTTTTTGTAATTCAGAAATATCTTTTGTATCAAATGAGAACAGACAAGAGCCCCTTTCCCCAAAAACGACCATACAGCGCTAAGACTATTGTACCTGCCATACAGACCTATCAAGGGCAGATCCAACATTTTTAAAAGGGAGGGGTCCAAAATATCAAAATGTTCTCTCAGATAATTTTACTGCCTATAATATACGTTTGGTTTTCAAAAGGAGGGGAGAGGGTCCATATTGCCTGGTATCCATAGTATCAAAATATATCATTGATATTGGATAAATTCTGATGTTGGATGAACACTCGTAGAACCTAAATAACCATGCCCTAAATAAGGACACACCAGTCCATGATGACTGTCGACTCAACAACAATCAATGGCAATAAAACACTAACTGGCCGCCCACACTCAATGGCCAATCCAACCAGAATTGTGAGGTACGTACGTCAATGGGTGAGGGAAACCCTACACAGAAATGCAATCATTTAATAGGTCACCAACTCTTTGACAGATCATAATAGGACATTGAAACAGTTTGGATTTTACCATATTGACCAGCGCTGATAGTTCCAGAATTTATGGTACTTTATACATAACAGAACCAAACAATCAAACCTATACAGAAAACGTTAGGCATAATGCATGCCACAAGCTTTTGGTTGCAGGTATTAAATCCTAGATACTCCTTAATAATGATTCTTGTTTGTGAGCACCATAGCTAGCAAGACATACGGTGATATAACTGAAATACCATTTGAAGAGGCAACTCACCCATTCACCTTATTACAGATGTAAAACAGATTAAGTGTGGACTAATTCTTTCAATATTCTTATCGGTAATCCAACCATAATTTCTTTCACCGTGATCAGTTTATTGTGGTTCAGAATCCTTTCAACTTCACCTTCACCTTCATGAATATCAAATCTACAATCTACAGCCAGTGCATCCAGAGAGCATATATACTACTCAAAAGAAGTTAAAGAATGCATGATTCTTTCATACCATGACAGATAAAGTAAAGTCATATGAAAGAATCGACCCATGATCATCTGGGTTAGAATGGGTCTTCACAACCCATGCTTGCTGTAAAAGGCGACTACGCTTGTCGTAAGAGGCGACTAACGGGATAGGGTGGTCAGGCTCGCTGACTTGGTTTGATGCATGTCATCCATCCCAATTGCGTGGATCAATGCTCATGTTGTCAATCACTGGATTGTCTGGTCCAGACTCGATTATTTACAGACCGCCGTCATATAGGTGGAATATTACTAAGTTTGGCTTTAAACAACAAACAAACAAACATATGAAAGAATCAGGTGTTCTTTAACTTCTCTTGAGAAGTATATATATAAACTTTCACCTCCCATCTGAGCTATGTGAAACATTCATTCAAAACTGTTTCTATACTTGTTAAGTCAATAAGAGAAAAATAATCCTATTATAGATACATGTACACCTAAGTACACCTATTTGCATTTCATTAGGCAAAGACTC